TAGTATATATTATTATACATATCATATATAATATGTAATCATATATATCATATATAATATATAATTATATATTATAATATGTTTATATATGTTTGTTATATAAACATATATAAACATGTATATGTATGTTATATATACATATTACATATATGTATATATGTATATATAAACATATAAACATGTATATGTATAATATGTTTATATATGTTTATAACATAAACATATATAAACATATTATAATTATTATGTAGTAAACATATAATATAGACAGATATATAGGCGATTTATAATATATATTGATACATATCATATATAAGTAATCATATATATCATATATAATACAATTACCTACATTATAATATGTGACATATAGAATTTACATGACATTATATATAATATCTTACATATATAAGATATACACACATGGGATATATAAGATAGATATCTCATATTTATATAACATATATAATATAATAATATAATATAATATAGATATACAGATATGGGATATATAATATAATGTATAGAATATATTTTATATTTATATATTTTTAATATATATGTATATGGCTTGTAAAAATATATTTAAGGAGAGCTAGGTCTTAGAGCTTCAGAAATTTCATTTTTTTCTATATATTCTTCCTAGGTCTACAGCCTTAAAAACCTGTTAAAACAACGTGCACAACAATGTCAGGAAATCATCAATAAAAGAGGAAGTGTTGGTTATTTGTGTTTGCTAAATTTCACAATAAAAATTCAGAAGGAGTCACAAAAGAGAGACAATGGTATGTATGATTCATGCACTCCCCGAGAATCTTTTCTTAACTTTTTTAAATATTTATTTATTTTTGAGAGAGAGGGAGAGAGAGAGCCAGACCATGAACGGGGGAGGGGCAGAGAGAGAGGGAGACACAGAATCCGAAGCAGGGTCCAGGCTCCGAGCTGTCAGCACAGAGCCTGATGTGGGGCTCAAACTCATGAACTGTGTGATCATGTCCTGAGCTGAAGTCAGACGCCCAACTGAATGAGCCACCGAGGCACCCCCGACCAAGATTCTTTTAAAATGACGTTTTTTGCCACCACAAAGGCCCATCATCGTTTCTTTTATTAATGAATTCAGTGAAGTCCTGCTCCGTTTAATGTATGTTTACAAATACACGTTTTCCATTTGGAAAATGGGCAATGATAGATTATTTCATCCAGCCAGTGATGAATCCGTTGGTCAGCGGGTAGCCATTTAGAATTCATAAAATACATGACGCTGTGATGGGGAACAGTGAATGCCAGGACCTATGTGTATTCTGTTTCAGTAGGAAAGCGGGCAATGACAGATTATTTCAGAATGTAAGAGTATCAAGGAGTCTTGTGACCAGAAGGCTTGAGAAGTTCTGCTAGATTGTATGAATTTGGATGCTTTTCTGTGGAAGCCACACAAAGCCATCTCGAAATGGATAAAACCATAAAGATACTATCACATAAGAAGACCTAGTGAGGTTTGAGCCTCTGGGGTGGGGTAACTTGAGGGTTCAATAATTTCCTCCCGTGGCCCAGTTGTCTGTTTGGTGACCTCAGCTTTTGCAGCCCATTAGCCACTTTTACTCATGGCGCAAGATGGCTGCTGTAGCTCCGGCTGTCACAGCCTGCCTCCCACCAATCTCCGGAGCCCTAATTAAGACCCATTTCCTATCTGCATTCCGGTTTTATCTTTTATCCGTTTATGCTTTTGACTCGGGGCGGGGATGGAGGTTGAAAGTTAGCCAGTACATATAAGTCCTTTGATTATTATTATTTCTTTTTGTATCCACCGGCTTGCAATTATAGTTCTTTAGCTATGACCGTGTGCTACAATACGGATATACAATTGCAGTCGTTTAATTTGCAATTGCAATAATCGTGTAATAGGCATATTTTTTCTCATCCTTTTGCTTGTTTTTCAAGTTAGTTCATTCGGCCTTTGTCTCAAAAGCGCGTTGCACAATCACACTGGTTGGCGGGTTTTTGTTTTTGTTTTTGTAGCTTCTGGGTTAGAAATCTATCCCGACACATAGTGATTATACAAAAGGAAACCAGAAGAAGAAAGTAAGGTCCTTTACGTCTGCAATAATACTTTTTCTGGTGTAGGACGAAAGTCACATTCTCGGGACGCCTGGGTGGCTCGGTCAGTTAAGCGGTTAAGTCTCAGAGTCTTGACCTCAGCTCAGGTCAGGGTCTCCGGGCTGGGGATAGGAGCCCCGCCTGGATTGGGATCTGACGCCTGGGACTCTCTCTCCCTCTCTCTCTGCCCCTCCCCTGCTCACCGGCTCTGCTTCTCTCTCAAGATAGTAAATAAATTAACTTAAAAAAAAAAAAAAAGTCCCATTTTCTCCCCAGGGCTCCGTTGGGGAGAACGCAGACTCCCTTGTGCAGTCAGCAACCGCAGCAACCGCCTTATCACAGGAAAGCAGAGGACACCGCACCTTCCGCTGGGGGGTTAAAAATGGACCCACCCTCTGGCCAGGAGCCCGGCAGCTCCCCTGGGGTCACTGCCTTTTGTCCTGGTTTCCAGGCCCAAATTCAGGACTGCAAGCGTCCCACGGGGCAGGCAGGGGAGTGGGGCAGGGGGTACTGGGTCTCAGGACACAGGACGGCTGCTGGGGTTCCTGAACCTTCTCCTAAACCTCTCGGGTGATTGGCCATTTCCCGCTGCCTTTCATTCTGGCCCACCCTCTCCTGCCCCCAGGGTCCAGCGGCCCCCTCCCCACCTTCCCCAGGGGTCAGAACAGACCCTGTCCGGAGCCCCCTCCCACCTCCCCCAGGGGTCAGAGCTCACCCCGTCCTGGAGCCCCCGCCCACCTCCCCCAGGGGTCAGAAGAGGCCCCGTCCTGGAGCCCCCTCCCCACCTCTCCCAAGGGTCAGAACAGACCCTGTCCGGGAGCCCCCTCCCACCTCCCCCAGGGGTCAGAGCT